TCCGTGTAGGCTGCCTTGAGTGGAAAGAAGAAGACATCATCGATGCCAACATCGACAAAAACGCAGCCAACATCACGAGTGCTATTATAGGAGCCGCAGACGACTCCATTCCCAAGACTTCTGGAGGGCAATCAAGGATTAGAAAACCTTGGTGGTCACCAGAATGTCAGAAGGCGGTTAACGAAAGAAAGAAGGCACTACGCCTACGGAAACGCCACTACAATGAAGTCAATCACCAAAACTACCTGAAGTTGAAATACGCCGCAAGAGACACCATCCGGAAGGCACAAAGCGGACACTGGATGACATTCTGTAATGCGTTGAATTAAAACACGCAAACAGGTGCCGTCTGGAAGAAGCTGAACGCCATGAACGGGAAGTGCAGATCATTCAACATACTAAACCTAAAGAATGGAGAAGAGTACGTTACCAACGGCAATGAAAAGGCAGATCTACTTGCAAAAGCTTTCGCTGACGCAAGTAGGAACGAATACCAATCACCAGAGTTCCTGAAGAGAAAGGAAATCTTTTACTCACAGCACCCTTCATTAGAAATTGAACCTAATGAAGGGACTAAACCAATCAATCTACCCTTCTCTGAGAAGGAGTTAAATAAGGCTCTTTCCCTCAAGACGGATAGTGCGGCTGGGGAGGACAAAGTAAAGTACTTGATGCTCAAACATCTGCCTAGAAATGCCAAAAGGATACTACTAAACTTCTTCAACACATCCTGACTGGCAGGAGAGGTACCTAAAGAATGGCGGAAAGCCAACGTCATCCCTCTTCCAAAACCAGGTAAAGAGAGAACAAAGGCAGAGTCCTATCGACCAGTAAGTTTGACATCCACACTGTGCAAAACCTTGGAAACAATGGTTAACATACGACTACAGTTCTATCTGGACAGCAACCGACTGATCGACGAAAATCAAAGCGGGTTCAGGAAAGGGCGTTTAACAACGGACCACTTGGTGAGACTACAGCAAGTCATGTCGCAGGCACTCCTCTCTGGGAACCTGTTATGTGTCGTGTTCGTAGATTTAACTAAGGCTTTCGATTTAGTCTGGCTAAACGGGCTGCTCATCAAGTTAGGACGTATTGGTATAACGGGCATAATGTTTCGGTGGATCAAAAGCTTTCTGAGCGATAGAAGGATACAGGTGAATGTTGGCAGATTCCTGAGTGCCGAGCAAACATTAGAAAATGGCACACCTCAGGGGTCGGTTTTCAGTCCCACTCTCTTCAATGTCATGATCAACGACATACAGAAATCTTCCTACCTCGACGCCAAAACTGAGTTAGCTAAATTTGCTGATGACAGTACCATATGGCGGAAAGGGAGGAACTTCTATGAACTACAAAAGAACATGCAGAAGGCCTTAGACAAATTCATGGCATGGGCAAACGATTGGGGATTCAAAGTCTCGGAGAAGAAAACAGTCGGCATGCTTGTAAGCAGGGATAGAGGGATAAGCAGAATTAAAGACCAAACCAAGGTCCTTGGCGTAATCTTTGACCGAAGGCTGACCTGGAAACCGCACATCGACGAGACTGTAGATAGATGCACCAAAATCCTAAACTTAATGAGGAAAATAACGGGCAGAACTTGGGGGGCCAACAGAGTCACACTAATGATGGTGTATCGTGCTCTAATACGATCTGTATTAGACTACGGCTCTCTGGCCTTCATGAACTGCGCGCCATTACTCTTAAGGAAGCTTGACACCATCCAATACAAAGCTCTGTGTATTGCGACTGGCGTAGGGCAAGGGACTGCGAGAGAGGCACTACTGCAAGAAGTCGGGGAGTTGCCCCTATCCCTAAGAAGAAAAGAACTAGCGACAAGGTACTGGGCTAAGATCTCGCAACTGGGCGAAAGATTCCCAACCTTTGTCAGTCTACAAAATACAAGATATGTAAGAGATCCTAGAAAGAAAAGCTTCGGCCAGGGTATCAGGGAAACAATCAAGGAACTGCGACTGGGGGAGCTCGTGATAAATGAACACGACCCCCCCCCTCCAATCGCCCCTTGGATGCTCCCTATACCGCCGGTTAATCTAGATTTACTACAGAAAACCAACAAGAAAAACAACCCCACTGCTGCACGTGCTTTCACTCTAGAACACCTGGAAGACAACTGGCCGTCTGATGACTGGGACCATGTGTACACGGATGGCTCACGCAATCCTGAAAGGGGCACCAGCTCGTTTGGAATATACCTGCCAAACGGGGAACAGGGAATAAGCAGGAAACTACCCAATAACTGTTCGGTGTACACTGCAGAGCTTGTGGCCATTCGTGACGCTATATCATGGATTTGCAATCAAAAGACTAGTAAGTTCGTCATTCCAAGCGACTCTCTGAGCAGTCTGATTTCAATCCAAAATGACAACTCGGACTCAAGACCAGAAGTCATTTTGGAAATCAGGCAGCTGTACCAGAGGGTTTTAGAGAAGGGAAGCAAAGTAGAACTCGTCTGGATTCCATCACGTCAACATTAGAGGAAACGAGGAGGCAGATCGACTCGCCAATGAAGGTCTCAAGGACACAGCACCACGGAAATCTAGAGTATGGTCAAAAGACAGGTCAATTCAATCTGGGAATTAAATCTTGTTGAACTTGACACATACAGATTCCGGCTGGATGACAAGATCTACACAAAGACAACACTCAATCACCCTAGAAGAGATATTTGTAGACTTATATAGAAGCTAAGGGTGAAAGAGCGGCTGCGAGACTACAAACACCAAGTCATCATCTGTGAGTGCGGAGAAGAATGTACCACCAACCATGTCCTGGTAGACTGAGAGGTATACGAGGAGGAGAGAAGGGAAATAGTGAGAACAATGGAGACCAACAACATACCATTCAACACTAAGAACCTACTCTTCACGAGACCAGATCTGAAACTGCAAATCTTCGAACAAATCCACGCCCTAATGGACACAGTTGGACTAAGTAGAATAGTGAAGTAAGAGGGGGTCACGGTTAGACGGGCCCGGCATCTAAACACTAAACTACATAGAGGATTTATACCAAACTGGCAGGATAGTGGAGTAAGGGGGAGTCATGATCAGACGAACTCGGCATCTAAACACTATTCCACCAAAAACAGACACCAAACCTACAGAGTGGGATAGTGGAGTAAGGGGAGGTCACGATAAGACGGGCCTGGCACCTAAACACAAACCCCACAAAGATGACATCTACCAAACTAGCAGGATAGTGGAGTAAGTGGGAGTTACGGTCAGACGAACTTGGCACCTAAACACTATTCCGCAAATAAAACTGATACCAAACCCAGAGAGTGGGATAGTAGAGTAAGGGGAGGCCACATTAAGACGGGCCTGGCACCTAAACACTAAAACGATGACATCTACCAATCCAGAAGCAGTAAAGATCATCTACCAAACGATATGTTTTATATTACCGGTAAATAAAGGGAAAAACTTCCCACTAAACCAAATCCATGGCCTAAGGCCAAATGGAAAGATTGCAAAATCATATTCTAAAAAACAGGAATCAGCTTCGGCTCTCCTATGTCTTGTCTGCGATATCACTTCCGTGGAAGCAGACGTTAAACACCAAGAACGAACGAACGAATTAATTTTAATCAGATTGGTTTGAACTTGCCGTAAAATGGATGTAGTAACCATTGGCTATAAGTACATGAAATTAAGATTTTCACCTTACGTGGTCTTTAAACTGCACATGTAAATTTCATACAGATCGGCAGATAACAGTTTTGTCTATGATATCACCCTAGGTGGAAGTGGACGTAAAACTCTAGAAACGAACAAACGAAGCAGATAACTTTAGGCTTCTTTGTGTCACTAATTTAAATAATACATATAAATTTCAGAAAGATCGGATGATAACTTTTGTTGTTTGAGGGTTCACAAGGTCCTACAAACTGAAACAAGGGAAGTAATTTTTATAGAAAATTTTGAAATTTTACAGGCTTTTTCGTTTTACTAATTTAAATAATGCATATAAATTTCATACAGATTGGATGATAACTTTTGTCATTCGAACATTCACAAGGTTCACAAAGTAAATCAAGGGCCATAACTCTAGAAATAATTGACGGAAATTGCTGAAATTCAATAGACCTTTGTATCACAAATTTAAATGATGCATATAAATTTAATACATATCGGATGATAACTTTCATCAATCGAGCATTAACAAGGTTGAACAAAGTGAAACAAAGGCCATAATTCTAGAAGTAATTATTGTAAATTGCTGTAATTCAATAGGCTTCTTCATTTCACTAATTTAAATAATGCACATAAATTTCACAAAGATTGGATGATAACTTTTGGCGTAATAGCATTCACAAGGTTCAACAAAGTGAAACCAGGGCCATAACTCTAGACATAATGAAATTAAATAGGCTTCTTCATCTCACTAATGTTAACCACATATATCAATTTTAGAAATTTCATCAATCGAGCATTAACACGGTTGAACAAAGTGAAACAAAGGCCATAATTCTAGAAGTAATTATTGTAAATTGCTGTAATTCAATAGGCTTCGTCATTTCACTAATTTAAAAAATGCACATAAATTTCACAAAGATTGGATAACTTTTGGCGTAATAGCATTCACATGGTTCAACAAAGTGAAACCAGGGCCATAACTCTAGACAAAATGAAATTAAATAGGCTTCTTCATCTCACTAATGTTAACCACATATATCAATTTTAGAAATTGTGGACAACGGACGGATGGAGGGGCGGACAGATGAACAGACAGGGGCGATGGCAATATATGTCCACATTTCCATGTTGGCGTATAAAAATTAAAGGCTAAGATTTAGTTTTATCTAAAAAAAAAACTAAAAAAAACTGAAATAAAAGAAACACAACCAGGACTCTAAATTCATTCTGAAACAATTCATTATAATATCAAACAATATTTGATAAACCACCTCCTCTAAAATTAATAATGTTTTAGGATTACACAAACAGATCAGTTGGAAATAGAAAAGATGTAAATACCTTAGCAGCAGTAAGAGTATGACCTAATAAAGAATATGTTGTAAATGTTAATATAGAAATTAACACAGGAGTTGTAGCCCAAAAATATACACATAATGCATCTAAATATTTCTGCCCTTTCAGATTGTTTAATTCCTTGTCACGAACAAAATTTATCTTTTCTTTAAAATGTTGTTCCCACGAATAAAATTTCACAACACGAATACCACTCAAAACTTCATTCATTAACTGTAAAATAAACAGGCATTTGTTTTTATATAAAAATTCAAACAAGGAAATAGAATGCTAACACTTTAAATAAGTTATTTAGAGACTAGAATCTGGTTATTTATTTACTATTGTCAAATGTAGTGCATAGCAGTCAAGCAGTTAGGACACTTGAATTCATTTCACTAAGGGAATAAGTATAAGTGTTTATAAAAGTATAAAAGTTTTAAAGCTTTAACGCAGAAGTTTAACGCCAGTTGTGGTCAAACAAGGCGCAAGTCAAAATCAAGAAAGAACATTTGTGTTTTTATTGCTAACTCAGAAGAACAAAGTTAGCCCAGTTTGTTCAGAAAACAAACATTAAACCCCATTAGATTTCAAAAGAAAAAGGGGACACTCAAATAGAACTTTGAAGGCTCAAATTACAGCACGTTTTTTTCATGGAGTTTGAGTTTGAAGAAAACATACTGTCCAGGAAATATTAGTCTTTGCCCCACTGGAACAAAAATGTAAGCTACTCTGTCAAACGAAATAAAGGATAAAATATAATGAAGGGATAGTATATAATAGTATATTCTACCAATTTGATTTGGTAATGTTTTGATTTGGTAATGTTTTTACCTTAACACGACTGTCTTTTTGGCCCATCATTTTTTTACTGAGATCACCTATTTTAATAGCCAACTGTCTGTTTATTGGAATCAGTATTATAGCAAACGTTAATCCAGCTAAGAATGACAGGCCCACTTGTTGATGTAGTAAATATAAAGAGAAAGAAACTTGGAATGGTAAACTCCAAATTGCATGAAAACTGGGACAGAAATTTACAATTCTGTTGGTGTCAGTACTCATAAAATTGACAATTTGTCCGGTATCAAATTTAGCCATCTGAACACTGCTAACAGATAATGTTTTTTGGTAAATGATTGTTACTAAAGCACAACGTATCTTTAAACCCACCACAGATACATGATAATCAAACTGTGTAGAAAATATTGTACCAAGAAAAGTTGTAGCCATCAGTCCTCCTGCATACAAATATCCGTGATTTTGAGGTTCATTTTTATTTTCAATGTATGATATCAACATATTTAACAACACAGGTCCAGCAAATCCTAATGCATCTGCTATCAGTTTTAATATTCCTAAACAATAATATTCACATCCAAATGCACTGTTTAAACATTTGAGTAATGATTTTTGTTTGGTGACTTTTTTCTTTCTTTGAACATAGTCGATTATTTGAACAGTTGGATCATGATTTAGCGTGGAATTCTGTTCACATGACCTTTGTGTCATATTATTTTCTAAATCTCTATGGTCAGCAGTATTCCCACTTAAAACTTTCTGGAATTTCTGTTCAATATTAACAGAATTTAATCGTTTAGGTAGTCTTAGTAAGTCAGTTGCATTATTTAGTCTGCCATTTAAACCCTTTTTAAACATATGATTTAGCCAATAAAATGAGAGTTTAGAAAAGATATTGGAAGTTGATTCGGCTTCCAATAATTCTGCTGTCATGACAGATTGATCAGTTCCACCATAACTATGTATATGTTCCCAGGTAACCTGTTCTGTTTCGGGAGTATCATAGTTTATACTTCCATAAAACAAATCTGTTCTATAATGTCGTGTTTTAGATGGAAACAAAGTTAATAAATAAATTAACTCTAATCCTAACTTAATATAAATAGTATATTCTTCAGCTGCATTACGGTTTACTAAATAATCAATGTGTTGTAAAATGACTGAACGCATATGCACAACCAACGAGACAACTGTTAACAAAAATACGACTATAGCACTTGTCGGTCCTCGTAATGGTACAGTATGAAAATATCGTAAATTCCAAATATAGATGGCATGTAAACCCCACGTAAATACTGATACTACACACACAACATAATCAACTACACTTAGAGATATTTTCAGTAAAAAAAATGTAAAAAGTATTTGTACTACTGATGCCAGTGATAGAAATATAGTACAGACAAATCTGATCTTCATAAACCAGAACCAGACAACATATAAATCTGAATCATTCAATCTAACTTGTGTTCTGGCAATATAATATGAACTTAAAATAGCTAGTAGAACCAGCGGTGGTAATATAATAACAATTTCTTCAAAACAAAGTCCAAAATCATTGTTACTCCAAATGGTAAAGTTTTCATTATGACCACAAAACTGGTGCCAATTCCACTGCTCCATGTTGTCTTTTGGTTTTGGTTGTACAGGTTATATAAGTTATTACTGTATATGTACAGTTTAGTTTTTATCTGAAATATTAAAACATACATATAATAAGCAGTTGAACATTCATACATTATTTTGTTTGTATTGATTCAAGACTGCAAATATGATTTACTTAATTATATTCAGAATACCAAACAGCTCACTTATTTTCAGATGTTAAAACTGATATGTTTTGATATTTCAAAATGATATGTTTTGATATTTCAAAATGATATAATTTTCATCCGTATACTACTTACACATTCCAAAATATCGTGATACCAATGTTAAGCCTATAATTTCAATCATCTGACACTATAACACAAGTAACAGTTATATCTTGTCCAGAAGTCACTTTGATAGAGATTTAAAGCCTTATCAGGAAATTAATTAAATTTCTATTGATATGATGTATAAGGATATATTTTATCAGTATCATTATATAATTCTTCCTGCTTTATTACCTTATAAAAGCTTACAGACAGGATAAATAAATGCTACTGTAAGCAACAATAATAATTTTCAATTATAACTTATGGCTTTAATTAATGTCATGACATTGGCATACTGACTTTCACAATAGAGCCAACAGTGAGGTTGATGTCCCCCGCAGAAATAAAAAAAAAATAGATGACACATTGATTAATTGCACATTTATCTTTTTCAAAAGTATCGAGTAATCAAACTGATTATCTATGCTTAGAAGCATATAATGTTCACTATCAAACTCAGGTTTTGAAGTACCTGGTAGTGAGTGAAACTTTACACTAAGTTTCATCACTCTCTATCAGTTGGAATCAAAGTTATCTTGTACCAAAGCATCGACCAAAGAAATTGCTTAGCTCTGCTTAGCTTTAACAGGAAAAATTTAATCATTGAACACAGTCAAGACATTCGCCTGATGAATATCTATACTCCAATTAAAAGCAGAATTGTTATTATCCAAAGTCTCGACCAATCAAATTGCTTATCACTACTTAGCCTAAGCAGAAAATTCTCATCATCAACTTAGTCAATGTATTGATGTAATGAATCTATACTCAGGAGTTTCATCGCTCTCACCCAATTAGAACCAAAGTTATCGTGTTCCAAAGCCTCAAGCAATCAAATTGCTCATCTCTGCTTAGCTGTAGTGGAAAATGCGCATGAACGAACTATGTCAAGGCATTCACGTAATAGACACCTACACCAATTTGGAACATTTTACCTTAATTAGAAGTATCAACCAATCAGATTGAAGTCTCTACTTTGCGAAGCAAAAAATGCTCGCTCAGCATCGTACCTTGTTCAGGTATTGATTTAATAAAACTATACACAAAGTTAATAATAATAATATGTCCATTTATATAGCGCCAAATCCACAAATTGTGCTCATAGCGCATACAACTATACAAAAGTCTTTTGGCTCTATGGTTTTTTTGGTCAATTTCTGTAATGAGTTTTGAAAAGATGAGTTTTTAATCGAGATTTGAAGATTGATAAAGAAGTCACAAAACGGAGTTCAACTGGAAGTGCATTCCATCTTTCAGCGGTAGCAACAGCAAACGCTCTTTGTCCAAAGGTAGCAAGTTTCCACTTTGGTACCACTAGCTGATTGAGATTTTCTGAACGCCACTGTCGTTTTGGAATATCCCGTTGAATTAATTTGCAGAGGTAATCAGGAGCCTCTCCACTTTCACTACTATCACTCAATTAGAATAAAAGTAGTCGAGCTATAAAGTCTTGACCAATCAAATTGCCTATGGCTTTGCTTACCCTGAGCCGAAAATGCTCTCATAATCAAACTTTGTCATGGTATTGATGTGATGAAACTATACACCAAGTTTCATCACTCTCACTTAACTAGAATCAAAGCAAAATGAAAATGAAATGTTGTTTAATGGCACGTCAGCTCCAACCGGGCTATATTGCGCCAAACACATGGTGAATCCAACGAAACAAACTAAAACAATATCACATAAATGAATTAATATATGTAAATCAAAACAAATATCACAGAAAATAAATTATATAGCTCCAGTTGAGCAAATAGCTGACGTACTGACTGGCAACGGTAGTATTTAGATCTAATATACTTGAGATGTTTGCACTCAATCAAGATGTGTTTCACTGTCAAAGGAACATGACAGTGAACACATTTCCGGTTGAGGCTCTCACTTCAAAATGAAAATGTGAGTTAAAAAGGTATGACCAATTCGAGAGCGACACAAAACAACCTAGATTTTATTACATAAAACACCCTTTTCGGGCAGCATGCTAAATACATTATAAAGTGGATGAAAAATACATAAAAAAAAAAAATGGATGAAAAATATATAAAAAGTAGATGAAAGATACATAAAAGTGAATGAAATGTACATTTACATGTACATACATTGAGGCAGTATGTGCAAAATATAAACCAAAGTTTTGAATATATGCCATAGTCGCTTAAACTAAACGTGAAGAGGTCTTTGAATTGTTGGTTGTTTATTTATTTATTTACTTATTTTTTGGTTTATATAGAAGTGGGTGCCACATCCCTTATTTTGAAAGCCTGATGCACAAAGTTGCACACTGCTTTTGCCAGAGCAAACGGTGGGTTAAACATGTTTTTGAATGAAAATGGATACATTTGGGTCTCAAATGCCCCATAAACAATTGTCTTACGGAGTTCCTCATAGCGGTTGCATTCAATGAGAAAATGATACTCATTTTCAACTTTCTGTTGAGGGCAGTTTGTGCAAAACCGCAGATGTGCAGGTCTATTCTTGTATCGCCCTCTCTCTCTCTATTTCAAGGGAATGTGTGCTTAGACTAAGGCGGGACATAGCGGTTTTAGTTTTAAGATTTTTAACAGCTTGCAGGTAGGGCACCGTAGCCTTGATATTCTTTGTATGATAACAAGGGAGGGTATCATAAATCGCCTAACCTAATCGTTGATATATATACATGAGGCAATTTAACGAAGAACATGGATATTAAATTTTAAGGACATTACATCATATTATTTTGCACATCACAACTGAATTTATAAAACATAAATGAAATATAAATACAAATGAGGCCCCTGAAAAAATCTATTGTATTGAAGATTAAACTTCCAAAGGACAAATATGAAATATGAAATGAAATGTGCCAAATTGAATTTTAATATATGTCTTCATGACTGATTAATGAATTCATTATTTGATGAAAAAACAGAGGCAACAATGAACAAAGTCTATTTGTTGTGTTATTAAATGTGCCAAAATAAATTTAAGTGCATGTATTTTGGTGTTTTTGATTGATTAATGATGAAAAAAACAACAGTCTAAATCAGAATTTTTACGTCTGGTGTCAGTTTCTTACTGGGCTAGTAGAATGTTGGCTGGGCTAGTAAGATCTAAAAGCTACTAGCCCAAATGGCTAGTGACCATTTCAGGTTAGTTTCTACCCCTGCAAGACCGTTGCCAGCGGCCATATATAAAAGAATTAATGGGGGATTTAAAATCGGTAAATGATAAAAGGAATTTTGATATGGGAAGATCTAAAGCAGACTTGGCAGCTAAGTCTGCCTGATCATTCCCTTTAATATCAACGTGACTGGGGAGCCAGCAAAAGACTAGCAAAGGACTGTGTCCTTGTTGATAAACTCGTGTGATAGTAGCAGACGATAAATGTCTGCTACTAATGTGTGTACAAGCTGTTTATTGTTTATTGCTTGTAAAGAGGACAGAGAATCAGTAAATATAACGTGTTTTAAAGTAGAAGATGATTGAATGAACTCCAAAGCCTGAAAGATGGCCTGAAGTTCAGCAGTAAATATGGAAGCAGCAGGTGGAAGTCTGACAGAAATGATTCCAGATGGTGTGACGGTAGCCGAAGCCACCCGATCACCATCTTTGGAACCATCTGTGTAAATCAGAGCATAATCACCATATTTAGACCTCAGCTCTCAAAAGAAAGACTGAAACACCGTGGAACTAGTATCTTTCTTTTTGTTTTTTGTTAGATCTAAATTAATCTTTGGAGGCGATATAGTCCAGGGTGGAGTATGAAACAAAGGGGTATTCGCAATACTGTCATGACTGATGCCGGCCTCTGACAAAAGGGGTTGGATGCAAATACCGAATGATGGAATAACATTAGTTCTCAGTAAAAATAGATGTTCATGATAGGGTCTAAATATGGTGTTAAATGAAATATGATTTGGCAGAGATGCAATTTTTGTAGCATACTGCAGTGCAAGTTTATCACGTCTGTCGTGCAATGAGGGCTCGTGCGCCTCGACGTATAAACTCTGCACTGGAGATGTACGAAATGCTTCTAAACTGATTCTAAGTCCTTGGTTGTGTATGGTGTCAAGCTCTTTGAGTTAAGACTCGCGGGCTGACCCATACACAATACACGCATAGTCGAGTTTGGATCTTATTAATGCTCGATATAATCTGAGCAAGACCTTACGGTCTGCTCCCAAATCAGTGTTTGATAAGACTCTCAATATGTTATGGGCTTTCAGACATTTCTTCTTGAGTGTTTTTATATGAGGGATAAACCAAGACTACTTTTTTACGAAACATAACAGAAAGCTAGAACAAGAAATTGAATTTAGAAAAAAGCATTTTAGACAACTCAACAATTGTTTTAAGAAACTTGTAAAAGTAAAATGAAACTACTGCTAGTATCATGTTCTTGTCTAACCTGAGTGTTTCAGAGATATTATTTGTACTAAACCAAAAGATGCGGCTCTTAACGGTACAGTTAATGATAAAGCAATTTAAAAAATAAAACAAACGTAATTTCTAAAGCTGCTGTAATAACCAAGAAGCTAAATTTTACTGCTATTCAAAATCGTCAATAATAGATTTTTTTACGGCTGTAATAGTTGATATATTTGTAGAGAATTGCACGTGCCATGGCTATTTATCGACTCAAAGAGAGTGCGGGGTAGTCAGAAATCAGTTCGAGACACGCAACTGAAGCGTGCACATTTAGTAGCAATGCAAAAGCTTTTTTATATTTTTGAATCTGACTAAAACTAAATATTTACTAGCATTCTAGCCCCCTTCCTATTTAAGAAACCAAAAAAAAATTAAAAATCGGTTAAGAAATAACAAAGTTGTTGCACTTTTAAGACCCCAAATTGATGGATGTCAGTATACACTTTTTTTTAAAATATGCCAAAAAAGTGACCGAAGACCATTTCCCAGCAACTATTGAAGATATTGGCATCAAATTTTCAGGAAATATTCTTCCGACCATTAACTATCTATTGGAATTTTTAAATTTGGGCTATATAATTTATTTGTTTTGATATGGGGTCTGCAACATGGATAAAAAAATCCGTACATACGACCTTGTTTTCCATTCAACTTATCATTGTCGGATTCTCTGATCCGCAAAACAAAGTGAATTCTGGGGATGGAGCACTGGACATCCCATACTCATCTAGCCCATTCTCTTTTCTGGCAAAAGGGAGCCACGGTAGCTCAGTGGGTAGGACATTGGCTCACTCAACTTGATAAGCCGTGTTCAATTCCTGCATGTGCCGAGCAAGTTCATTGTGTTATACACACCAGCCTCCCCCCAGATGTACGACGGTTGACATAGCAAGTGACAACATAGTCATTCGGATAGAATAAAAAAACTGATGTCCCATGTACGCATAAAAGAAACCTTGACAGTTGGAATTCGAAATAAGAGTAGGCTGTTGCGCTGCTGTTTTGGCAAAGTTTCCCCTCATAGCACACTACAATGGCGTGTTCCCCCCTACCCACGCCCCCGCCCTCTTCATTAGCCCAGTAGGAGTAGAACATTAAACCCCATTTCATTTTCTTGTATCAGATTCCATATGGCTGTCATTTGATCACCAACAAAAGGGAAAGTAATCCAAGAGATAATTTTTAAAAAAAAATTAATTTTAGAGAAAGAATTCCAACCGTGCACCAGACTTTATACCCCTAAAAAGTGCACTTGAAAATCGTGCCTCAGAATCAGCCCACTGTTAGCAAAAGGGAAACTTGGTTTGACACGTTCACAATAACAAGAGAGCTGCTGTGGTCTGCACCCACATCGGTGGAGTTATCTTTTCATTTCTTCCACATGATTTGTTTTCCCGAGCTCTGGCACTAGTTCCAACGGTTGGTGAATGAAATACAGGTCAATATAACTAGAAAAGGGGTCATTTTATGAGAAAATATGTTTACTTCCAGTGACGAGCGTCGTTTTTGCCTTTTTCTGATAATTTTATTTTTTCAAAATATAAAAAATCAGTCGTAAATACGTTTCTGAATGAACAAACCACACTCGACACAAACTCTGTTTTCTCCTCTTCACGAAAAGTAAAAAGTCATTGGTGTTGGTGGTCATACAGCTTCTCGAAGTCGCGGAACAAAAACGGCAGATTTTACGGTCAGATTTTTTGACAGTGATAAAAAATAGTATCAGTGGCGCCCCTAGCGAGCTTTTGCATTGCTACATTTAGCCGTGTCGAGACCAACTTTCTGTAGAGTGCACGGGTCACCCTAATCAAGGCATTCACCTAATAAACACCTATATACCAAGTTTGAACATTCTTGCTGAATTAGGAGAGTTATATTGTGTCCCAAAAAGTGTGACGGGACAGACAAACCCATTTTAATGAATCCAATTTAGATTAGTACTGCTGACAATTAATTGTCTATGCTCAGCAGAGTATTCTCATGTTATCATAGTTTAAGTTTATTATTATTATGTTGGTCTGAATGTTTTGGTGGTGTGATTGATTGTGATTTGTCAATATATAGTAGGCCATAGTCTATTAGTACATGTATTACTAATAGTAATACTAATGTCAATGTAGTTCAGCTCTGAACGTAGGTCTCATTACACTCGAGCTGAACTAATGTCAATGAAGTTTATCTAAAGAATGACAATAGTTTCACTATTAAAGCATATTCAAATTGCCATTCATATTTTTGTTTATTACAAATACGTCGGTTATGATTATCAATCAGCCTGTATGCATACCACTGCCATCAAAAGTATACATAATTATTATTGATATGATATAAATTAAAATATGGGCCTAGATAACGTTGTCATTGTAAAAGGTGACAAATCACATCCAATCACACCTCCAACAAGAACAGTGATCCTGATACGAAAAAGAACAAGTTATGCAATAACAAATTTATGACACTACTTGCATTAATCCCAAAAATCTGTAAGTAAATAAATATCGATAGGCACTTGATGATACCAGGACGTACTACGCGGATAGACTAATCACCGGAATTCACCGGAATTCATTTACAATCACCGGAATTCATTTATAATCACCGGAATTCACTTCTAAAATCCACGATTCCTCCCACAAAATTCACTTATTTTAAATGTATAATACATTTTGATCTCTCCACAGGCCAGATAAAAGCGCTGTGTAGGCATTATCTATGGTGTAGGTGAATTTATTTGAAAGACTACCGGAATTCATTTCAAATATATGCATCATGATTATGATTATGATAATAGGCTGAACTCCAAAATAACACATAATAACAATTCGCGCGATAACTCCAAGATAACAGCCAATAACCCCAAAAATGTTGACTGTGGAAACAACAATTTAGTTGAATTTAAGAAGCCTCGCTGATTTGTGCCCAAATCGGAGGTTCACGGGAGATAACTCGTGTATGTGATTTTTGTTGACAAGAAACTCATTTAATGTTTTCTTTCGTTGCAATGTATTGTAATAAAAGATTGATGATAATAGTTTATTAAAATAAACAATTTAATATTATAGCTATATTTATTTATTTATAATTACAAATTGCGCCGATTGTCACTTTCGGTCATCGACATCGTATTCGTAACTTGTTTAGACCATAGATAATACGGTATTATCTATGTTTAGACCGAGCGGACTCTCTCACCCGTATTCCGGCACCCGGATTCGAGATCTAGTTATCAGACATAATTCTCAGCGTACTTCAGCATACCGATTCGAGATCAAGTTGGCAGACATATTATATTCTCTAACCGTATTCCAGCACCCGGATTCGAGATCAAGTTAGCAGACATATTTTCTCACCATATTCCAGCACGCGGATTCGAGATCAAATTAGCAGACATAATATTCTTTCACCGTATTCCAGCACCCGCATTCGAGATCAAGTTAGCAGACATATTCTCCCTCCGTATTCCATTTCCAGCACTCGGATTCGAAATCAAGTAAGCGCACGTATTCCTAGCGCCAAGAAAAACCTAGATATAATTATCACGAAAATAATTGTTACCTTTATATTAGAAAATAAAATTTTAAAACATATTTATGCAAAATATTATGTAATAGATCCCCCGATCCCACCCCACACCCCCAAAATGTACTATTACCGTAAACATACTAAAATATCGCACACTAGGCTAACTGAGCATGCAAAAAAGGGTACCGGGTACGTCCATTTTGCATCAAAAAGTACCCCAACCAGCTTTGGTGGGAAAATGTTTTTTGTTTCACGGAATCAAGAAATGAATAAACTACTAGAATACAAAATTTCAGAAGGCTCCTATGCTGGCGTTTCGAGATATTACCGTAAACATACTAAACATATGGGGGAATCGGGTTGAGGTAGGCTGACTGCGCACGTAATAACTTCTAAACTAGCTTTGGTGGCTTCAATATCTTTATTTCACCAACTAGACAGGTGCATAAGGCATGAACATGCCAAATTTCATTAACTTTCTATGTTGGCGTATCGAGTTATACCACCGCAAAGTTCCTAGCACCCGGATTCGAGGTGGAGTTTGTGGGTTCAATAAACAACGAGCACGCCCACGTTGCGTCAAAAAACGACCCAAACCAGCTTTGGTTGGAAAATGTTTTTTATTTCACGGAATCAAGGGATGAATAAACTACTAGAATACAAAATTTCAGAAGGTTCCTATGCTGGCGTTTCGAGATATATTACCGTAAACATACTAAACATATTGGAGAATCGGGTTAGGGTAGGCTAACCGCGCACGCAATAACTTCTAAGCTAGCTTTGGTGGCTTCAATATTTTTATTTCACCAACTGGACAGTTGCATAGGCCATGAACATGCCAAATTTCATTAACTTTCTATATTGGCGTATCGAGTTATATTATACGGTAATATATATTTCGAAACGCCAACATATGAACCTTCTGAAATTTTGTATTCTAGTAGTTTATTCATCTCTTGATTCCGTGAAATAAAAAACATTTTCGCACCAAAGCTGGTTTAGGTAGTTTTTTGATGCAACGTGGGTGTACCCGTTGTTTATTGAACCCACAAACTCCACCTCGAATCCGGGTGCTAGGAACTTTGTGGTGGTATAACTCGATACGCCAACATAGAAAGTTAATGAAATTCGGCATGTGCATACCTTATTCATCTGTCGATTTAGTGAAGTAAAGATATTGAAGCCACCAAAGCTAGTTTAGAAGTTATTGCGTGCGCAGTTAGCCTACCCTAACCCGATTCTCCAATATGTTTAGTATGTTTACGGTAATATATCTCGAAATGCCAGCATTGGAACCTTCTGAAATTTTGTATTCTAATAGTTTATTCATCCCTTGATTCCGTGAAATAAAAAACATTTTCCCACCAAAGCTGGTTTGGGTCGATTTTTGAAGCAGTGTGGGTGTACCCGTTGTTTATTGAACCTAAAAACTCCGCCTCGAATCCGGGTGCTAGGAAATTTGCGGTGGTATAACTCGATACGCCAACATAGAAAGTTAATTAAATTTGGCATGTTCATGGCTTATGCAACTGCCCAGTTGGTGAAATAAAAAATATTGAAGCCACCAAAGCTAGTTTAGAAGTTATTGCGTGCGCAGTTAGCCTACCCTAACCCGATTCTCCAATATGTTTAGTATGTTTACGGTAAAATATCTCGAAACGCCAGCATAGGAACCTTCTGAAATTTTGTATTCTAGTAGTTTATTCATCCCTTGATTCCGTGAAATATAAAAACATTTTCCCACCAAAGCTGGTTTGGGTCGTTTTTTGATGCAGTGTGGGCGTACCCGTTGTTTATTGAACCCACAAACTCGGTCTCGAATCCGGGTGCTAGGAATTTTGCGGTGGTATAACTCGATACGCTCACATAGAAAGTTAATGAAATTTGCCATGTTCATGCCTTATGCACCTGTCCAGTTGGTGAAATAAAGATATTGAAGCCACCAAAGCTAGTTTAGAATTTATTACGTGCGCAGTGAGCCTACCCTAACCCGATTCTCCAATATGTTTAGTGTGTTTACGGTAATATATCTCGAAACGCCAACATAGGAGCCTTCTGAAATTTTGCATTCTAGTAGTTTATTCATCTCTTGATTCCGATAAAGAAAAAACATTTTCCCACCAAAGCTGGTTTGGGTCGTTTTTTGATGCAGCGTGGGCGTACCCGTTGTTTATTGAACACACAAACTCCACCTCGAATCCGGGTGCTAGGAAATTTGCGGTGGTATAACTCGATACGCTCACATAGAAAGTTAATGAAATTTGCCATGTTCATGCCTTATGCACCTGTCCAGTTGGTGAAATAAAGATATTGAAGTCACCAAAGCTAGTTTAGAAGCTTTTACGTGCGCAGTGAGCCTACCCTAACCTGATTCTCCAATATGTTTAGTATGTTTACGGTAATATATCTCGAAACGCCAACATAGGAGCCTTCTGAAATTTTGCATTCTAGTAGTTTATTCATCTCTTGATTCCGAGAAAGAAAAAACATTTTCCCACCAAAGCTGGTTTGGGTCGTTTTTTGATGCAGTGTGGGGGTACCCGTTGTTTATTGAACCCACAAACTCCGCCTCGAGTCCGGGTGCTAGGAACTTTGCGGTGGTATAACTCGATACGCCAACATAGAAAGTTAATGAAATTTGGCATAACTCGATACGCCAACATAGAAAGTTAATGAAATTTGGCATGTTCATGGCCTATGCAACTGTACAGTTGGTGAAATAAAAATATTGAAGCCACCAAAGCTACTTTAGAAGTTATTGCGTGCGCAGTTAGCCTACCCTAACCCGATTCTCCAATATGTTTAGTATGTTTACGGTAATATATCTCGAAACCCCAGCATAGGAACCTTCTGAAATTTTGTATTCTAATAGTTTATTCATCCCTTGATTCCGTGAAATAAAAAACATTTTCCCACCAAAGCTGGTTTGGGTCGTTTTTTGACGCAGTGTGGGTGTACCCGTTGTTTATTGAACCCACAAACTCTGCCTCGAATCCGAGTGCTAGGAACTTTGCGGTGGTATAACTGGATACGCCAACATAGAAAGTTAATGAAATTTGGCATGTTCATGGCCATTGCAACTGTCCAGTTGGTGAAATAAAAATATTGAAGCCACCAAAGCTAGTTTAGAAGTTATTACGTGCGTAGTGAGTCTACCCTAACCTGATTCTCCCCATATGTTTAGTATGTTTACGGTAATATATCTCGAAACGCCAGCATAGGAACCTTCTGAAATTTTGTATTCTAGTAGTTTATTCATCCCTTGATTCCGTGAAAAAAAAAAACATTTTCGCACAAACGCTGGTTTAGGTCGTTTTTTGATGCAACGTGGGCGTACCCGTTGTTTATTGAACCCACAAACTCCACCTCGAATCCGGGTGCTAGGAACTTTGTGGTGGTATAACTCGATACGCCAACATAGAAAGTTAATGAAATTCGGCATGTGCATACCTTATTCATCTGTCGATTTAGTGAAGTAAAGATATTGAAGCCACCGAAGCTAGTTTAGAAGTTATTGCGTGCGCAGTTAGCCTACCCTAACCCGATTCTCCAATATGTTTAGTATGTTTACGGTAATATATCTCGAAATGCCAGCATTGGAACCTTCTGAAATTTTGTATTCTAATAGTTTATTCATCCCTTGATTCCGTGAAATAAAAAACATTTTCCCACCAAAGCTGGTTTGGGTCGTTTTTTGAAGCAGTGTGGGTGTACCCGTTGTTTATTGAACCTAAAAACTCCGCCTCGAATCCGGGTGCTAGGAAATTTGCGGTGGTATAACTCGATACGCCAACATAGAAAGTTAATTAAATTTGGCATGTTCATGGCTTATGCAACTGCCCAGTTGGTGAAATAAAAAATATTGAAGCCACCAAAGCTAGTTTAGAAGTTATTGCGTGCGCAGTTAGCCTACCCTAACCCGATTCTCCAATATGTTTAGTATGTTTACGGTAAAATATCTCGAAACGCCAGCATAGGAACCTTCTGAAATTTTGTATTCTAGTAGTTTATTCATCCCTTGATTCCGTGAAATAAAAAAACATTTTCCCACCAAAGCTGGTTTGGGTCGTTTTTTGATGCAACGTGGGCGTATCCGTTGTTTATTGAACCCACAAACTCCACCTCGAATCCGGGTGCTAGGAACTTTACTCGATACGCCAACATAGAAAGTTAATGAAATTCGGCATGTACATACCTTATTCATCTGTCGAGTTAGTGCAATAAAATTATTGAAGCCACCAAAGCTAGTTTAGAAGTTATTGCGTGTGCAGTCAGCCTACCCAAAG